GAGGAAGACAGAGATACTGTACAAACATGTGTTAGATAAGAAGTGGATTTACCTCACCAAAAACCCGTGTGTGAATCTAGGCAACATACCTAAGTTACCAAGGTTAGCTAGTCTGATAATGCGCCAATATTACGGTGCTTTATAAGGTCACCAGAGCGGAGGACTTATATAAGGAGGCGGTGGACACGTAAAAAATATTGCAACGCATTAAGTAACGACAGGTTGAAACCCTAAGGTAATCTTGTAAGATAACCATAAATCAACACATTCATCTCTTACATCTATCTTGAGGTTATCTTGAGATGATTTCGGGGCTTTAGTGTCCCCGCGGCCCGGTCCTCGACCAGGCCTCCACCCCCAGGAAGCAGCCCGTGACAGCTGACTAACACCCAGGTACCTATTTTACATGGAAGGATAGGTCATAAATCCTCGTCTCTCTTCTTTCTCGCCGAGATATGAGGTAACTGGAGACTGTCTTCCGTCCTGTCTGTCTAACCTGTCTCGCCCTAGGGGAAAAAAAAAGTTCGAGCGTAATTACGTTCGTGGTGTTTACATGTACCTGGAAGGTTGCTCAGATTTAATCATTCCCACTTCCAGGAAACTGCTGGACTACTCCCAGGGTGAGGTAGGAGAGTGACTCATTTGACTTATATTCTGCATTGGATTACAAGCATCGCAGGAAAAACTCCCTTGGGGCAGTAATTTGCATCGTAATTTGTTATTTTATTAGGTAACTGGGCAATTATGGTGATCATGAATACCTGTTAAAAGGAGTTTTATTGCTTGAAGAGAAGTTACATTGTCGTTTTAATACCCGTCAGAATGTGGATAGGATTGTGCTCTGTTTCCTCAGGGCGGATTCACCTCCTTCCCAACCTCTCTCAGGCTAGTTTCAGACGGCTCCTGTTGGCGCTCAGAGTTCCAAAATATTGATCTCAGTATCGTTGAGTTTCAGTTGGCGACTTGTGCGTGTCAGCGAGGCACGTCACACAGACCCATGCCATCCTTATATTCTCCATAATGCGGGGAAAAAAATAAAAATTACGACACTAAAGGATCTATTTTTAGTAGAGGCCAACTGGGTCAAAGAGAGGACGAGAGAGCTGAGTGTGTCAGCTGCCTCTGAGAGTGATGGAGAGCGAGTCTAAATATGTACTCACTGATGTGCTGAGGATGTTTAAAGGAAACCTAAAGATAATCAGTGATGTGGCTTAATGCAACTGGAGGTGAGGATGTATAAACGAAACCTATATACAATGAGTGATGTGGCTGAGGACAACTGGATCTGAGAAAGAGAAGAGGAAACATAAACATATGCCTAGTGAGGCGCTGAGGACAAATCGAGCTGAAAACTTGGCAAGGGAAGCCTTAACATTACATCCAGTAAATCGTAGAGCAACATCAACAACAACACCCGGATGTTGTTGTTGTTACTGCGTAGCCATGTAGCCATGTTGACGTAGAGACTGTATCTCCCGGCGTTCCTTTGTAGAGGAAAACTTGAATGTCTTGTAGCTGAGAGATATCCTGGGCGGTGGTATACAGCATTACCCTGATGCAGGTAAACTGGCGATTCTTAAGTGATCCAGAGCCACACATAGAAGGCACAGCTCTCACACATAGACAACCAACTGTAAGGCTCTCGACACCTTTGATAAGTTAGCCAGAGCAATACGTACACCACTTCCCAAGACCAAGACGCACCTACTCCTCTGGCCCAAGGCGCCGCCGGACCTCCTCTTTCCGTCATAAGATCTAACCGGAAAGGGTGAAGAATCTACGATCTTCCCGGTGCTCGCAGGCGATGCAGGTGTCCCTCGCGACGTGTCCGTCCGGGCGGCTGAAGGGCGATGCTCGCCGGCAGCATTGAGACACAATGAACACAGAATCGCGACACGGTTTCCGGCGGCCGCCACTGGCGCAAGCCAGACGTCCACCTAGACGTTGGGGGTGGCACCAGACGTTGGGGGTGGCACCAGACGTCCACCCAGACGTCGGGGTGGCACCAGACGTCCACCCAGACGTCGGGGTGGCACCAGACGTCCACCCAGACGTCGGGGTGGCACCAGACGTCCACAACTGGGTGTGAGACTTGGTAAAGAAAGCCTAAACATCCTTGCAGTGATGCGCTAAGACTTTTATACCTAACTCCTTAAGGTCTATAAAGACGCCTTACTGATTTACTCTGTACGAGATCAACCCCTTGTTAACAAGATATTCATCAGGTAATTATCCGACCAGCTTAGCGATAAATGGTTAGGATATTAATAGAAGTATATTCAAATAACTGAATATCTTATGTGATCAACGACATCATCTTTCATTAGAAAATGAAATATCTGCGAATATTAACAGTAAGCAAGAACGAAGATTTGAAACATAACAACAGAATAATTAAATACTGACAATATCATCCAAGAGATGAGCATATTAATGGAAGATTTACTCATCAAAGCTTGCTGAGAAATGGCCTAAAAATATAGGAAAGCAAAATTGGGAATAAAAGGAAGAGCAAAGGGAATATTTTTGCCAAACTGTGTGGCAGTAAGCTGAGCAGCGCATACACACAATGCTAAAATGCTTCTCAACCAGGTAGTTATGAGTCCAGAAGCAGCAGTAAGAGGTAAAATGTGGGAAGATAAAGCTATAAAGAGAGGGAATAATTATGTGAGAGAGAGAGAAAGAGAGAGAGAGAGAGAGAGAGAGAGAGAGAGAGAGAGAGAGACTGAGACTGACTGACAACAAAACAGATGATGATGAAAGGTAGAGACAAAGAGATAATTCCCAAATCTAGGATACAGAGAGAGAACTACGGAGCTACAGATAATAAGAGACAAAACGTAAATAGAGAATATTTCAGACCCGGAACCAAAGTCGGTAAAGAATCGAGGGAGCGAAGCTATATTAGACAATTATTTCCGGAAAAGAGAGAGAAATGAGCAGTGGAATTTCACCTAAAAGTTTCAAGGGTTTTGGTCAATACAAGAGGGAAGCTGCGACCAGTAACGGAGCCAGCACCTGTAGCGGGAACTAGAAGCACCAGTAGCAGCACCAGTCGCAGCCTTTGCAACAGCAGAAACAACACTCTAAACAGTAGCAGCAAAAGTAGCCTTCGTAACATTAGTAGAAACAGTTGTAACAACAGCAGCAGCTTTAACGTAGTAACTGCTTTAACAATATCAACAGGAACAGCAGCAGCAGCACCACATTTAACAGTAGCAATAGCAACAACCTCAGCAAACTCAGCAACAGTAGCAATAACGCCATGATATGCCTCAGTTCCATCAGCTGCCACTAACAGCTGATGGAACTGAGGCATATGCTTCCTTATAAAGCGTGCCTAACAGAAGATAAACATGATCTGGTACACATTAATGTTAGTCCGTTTATTCAAAATAACAATTCGAAATTCTGATAGGTGGAAGTGCAAATGTAAACATTGCGGAAATGCTCATTTAGGTAGTACAAATCTAAGGACTGGAGGAAGTGTAAATGTAAACATTGGAGGAAGTACAACTGTAAACATTGGAGGAAGTACAAATATAAACATTGAAGTACAGCTGTAAATACTAAAGGTTTTGCTGATTTGAGAAGCGTGTAAATACATAATCCTCCCCAAAATAAATAATTGGAAAAGATCAGCGGATCTGTGAAGAAGCCATTATATGGGAAATCTGCAAGCTCTGAGGTATGCACTTAAAGAGTTTAGAGTTTAAGTACTGAAATTACTTAATGTAGCAGAGAGAAAGGACTGGAATGGAGAAGTAACAATTATCAGAAAGCTGGAGGGAAGAATAGCACTGTGTGAGATGAGATAACAAGGAACGTCTTAGGAGAAAGTGCTTAACCAGAATGACTATACAATATTTGGAAGGTATTTGAGATCAAGGAGCTTTAACACGTGCACCGAAGTGAAGGAACTGCTCAACCACACGAACCATTGGGGATCGAACGTCGACCATTCAAGAAACATGGCTGTCACTGTACCGACATTGCAAGCGAACAGATGATTGGAGAAACATAAAGAAGCACGATTGTAATGACATAAATGTGAATGTAAAGAGTGTGACAACTCTAGAAACATGTGAACTAGCATGTTTGCCAGTTCGCATGTTTGCCAGTTCCTCTAGAAACATGTGTATGACAGAATAATTACGAGAAGAGTCGACGAATGAGTGACAGTCGTGGAAATGTCGTGCCCAAATGAACCAGAGGCATAATGAGGGTTTGGTTGCGAGCAGGCCTGCGAACAGCCGCATCCAACAGCCTGGTTGACCAGTCCAGTAACGAGGAGGCCTGGGCGATGACCGGGCCGCGGGGACGCTAAGCCCCCGAAATCAACTCAAGGTATACTCAAGGTTGGTAGTGAAGAAGGTTGCGTGTCTGAGGACATAAAGGAAGGAATTTTAAGGAACAGGAATTTTAAGGAAGAGGAATTTTAAAGTTGAGAAAGCATGTGATTAAGTGTACGAAGAGGGCTTCACTGGACACAAGTATTCATGTATGGAGCTCGTGTAATGTTTCCCTGTATGTGTCCATAGGTATTACTTTTAATAATATTTTAAATATGGGTGTGAAAATATAGTTGCACTAGCAATACAGAGAAGAGATAGGACTTGATGTATGCAAGTCTATCATTAAATTATGTGGTATGTACAGACCAGCTTAGAGTTTTGTTGACGTGTGTGTATGTATGGGAAGACTGCTAAATTTAAGTTCTAAATAGTGGGGGTTAGAAGTTCTAAATAGTGGGGGTTAGAAGTTCTAAATAGTGGGGGTTAGAAGTTCTAAATAGTGGGGGTTAGAATCAAGGTAAGTGAGAGGCAGTAGGAAAGTCATTTAATATCAAGGCAGATGTGCAGCTTTAAGGTAACTCCATTAGAATAGTTGAGAAAGTGTCGAGAGTTAATGGTAGATCAGCACTTAGAAGAAGGAAGAGTAAAAGGAATAAAGACACGTGACAAATTACGAAAAGGGAGCAGAGGACATTGGTTAACATAATGGAAGAAAAAAGAGAGGAAGTAAAAAGATCAAAAGATGAAGAAAGAAGAGGTAAGAAGGCATGTTACAAGGATTAGATACACGTACTTATAAGACATTAGACAATTGGGTAGAAGAGAAACAGTAGAAGGATAATGAGAGAGAAGGCTGTGACTGCCATCCAGGTGGTGGTGTTACTGGCTGCCATCCAGGTGGTGGTGAGACTGGCTGCCATCCAGGTGGTGGTGTTACTGGCTGCCATCCAGGTGGTGGTGTTACTGGCTGCCATCCAGGTGGTGGTGTTACTGGCTGCCATCCAGGCGGTGGTGTTACTGGCTGCCATCCAGGTGGTGGTGTTACTGGCTGCCATCCAGGTGGTGGTGTTACTGGCTGCCATCCAGGTGGTGGTGTAGCTGGCTGCCATCCAGGTGGTGGTGTGGCTGGCTGCTATCCAGGCGGTGGTGTTACTGGCTGCCATCCAGGTGGTGGTGTTACTGGCTGCCATCCAGGTGGTGGTGTTACTGGCTGCCATCCAGGTGGTGGTGTTACTGGCTGCCATCCAGGTGGTGGTGTTACTGGCTGCCATCCAGGTGGTGGTGTTACTGGCTGCCATCCAGGTGGTGGTGTGACTGGCTGCCATCCAGGTGGTGGTGTGGCTGGCTGCCATCCAGGTGGTGGTGTGACTGGCTGCCATCCAGGTGGTGGTGTGACTGGCTGCCATCCAGGTGGTGGTGTGGCTGGCTGCCATCCAGGTGGTGGTGTTACTGGCTGCCATCCAGGTGGTGGTGTGGCTGGCTGCCATCCAGGTGGTGCTGTTACTGGCTGCCATCCAGGTGGTGGTGTTACTGGCTGCCATCCAGGTGGTGGTGTTACTGGCTGCCATCCAGGTGGTGGTGTAGCTGGCTGCCATCCAGGTGGTGGTGTTACTGGCTGCCATCCAGGTGGTGCTGAATTTGGCTGCCATCCAGGTGGTGGTGTTACTGGCTGCCATCCAGGCGGTGGTGAGACTGGCTGCCATCCAGATGGTGGTGTTACTGGCTGCCATCCAGGTGGTGGTGTTACTGGCTGCCATCCAGGTGGTGGTGTGACTGACTGCCATCCAGGTGGTGGTGTTACTGGCTGCCATCCAGGCGGTGGTGAGACTGGCTGCCATCCAGATGGTGGTGTGACTGACTGCCATCCAGGCGGTGGTGTTACTGGCTGCCATCCAGGTGGTGGTGTTACTGGCTGCCATCCAGGTGGTGGTGTTACTGGCTGCCATCCAGGTGGTGGTGTTACTGGCTGCCATCCAGGCGGTGGTGTTACTGGCTGCCATCCAGGCGGTGGTGTTGCTGGCTGCCATCCAGGTGGTGGTGTGGATCAACAGTGATATATGCCCCAGCAAGAGATTACCGCGCCATCGTGTAGGCAGTTATGCTACATTATATCTAGGTCGACCCTATGGCGCGCCTGCTATCCATCTCTTCTATCCTCTTTCCCTTTTGTCCCTTCCTCTTCCTCGACCACCGTCCCCACGCAGCTCATATTCTCACTCCTATCCCTCTTAACTCTCTCCCTTCAACACACTACCCTCCATCTCTTAACTATTTAAAGGTCACTATCCCTTTATTAACTATTCCTCAAGCTCTATCCTATCACCTACTTTTAGTACTTCTTATTTTTTCACCATATATTCTCTTCGTGTCTTCCCCCTCCCCTTCATTTGCTTTCCTTATTATTTCCATTCTTCCTCTTTCTCTCAACATTTTCACTAATGTTTACTTCTCATCACCCCTCTCTCTCTCTCTCTCTCTCTCTCTCTCTCTCTCTCTCTCTCTCTCTCTCTCTCTCTCTCTCTCTCTCTCTCTCTCTCTCTCTCTCTCTCTCTCTCTCTCTCTCTCTCTCTCTCTCTCTCTCTCTCTCTCTCTCTCTCTCTCTCTCTCTCTCTCTCTCTCTCTCTCTCTCTCTCTCTCTCTCTCTCTCTCTCTCTCTCTCTCTCTCTCTCTCTCTCTCTCTCTCTCTCTCTCTCTCTCTCTCTCTCTCTCTCTCTCTCTCTCTCTCTCTCTCTCTCTCTCTCTCTCTCTCAATCTCTCATTCTCTCAATCTTTCTTTCTCGTTTTTTTTATTCAGATTTCAGATGAGCATTTTAATGTCAGGGGAATTCTTCAGAAGCTTTTTTTAAGCCCGAAAAGTCATTGAATTTTAATATTATTTTGAAAAAGTCTTGCAAGTCTTAATACTTTCCCACAAGCAATGTTTTTGTTGATTGATGTGCTTAAGTTGCTGTTTCCATCTTAAGTATTGCTGGTCCAATCTAAGCATTGCTGGTCCAATCTAAGCATTGCTGGTCCAATCTAAGCATTGCTGGTCCAATCTAAGCATTGCTGGTCCAGTCTAAGCATTGCTGGTTCAATCTAAGCATTGCTGGTCCAATCTAAGCATTGCTGGTCCAGTCTAAGCATTGCTGGTCCAATCTAAGCATTGCTGGTCCAGTCTAAGCATTGCTGGTCCAGTCTAAGCATTGCTGGTTCAATCTAAGCATTGCTGGTCCAGTCTAAGCATTGCTGGTTCAATCTAAGCATTGCTGGTTCAATCTAAGCATTGCTGGTCCAGTCTAAGCATTGCTGGTCCAGTCTAAGCATTGCTGGTCCAGTCTAAGCATTGCTGGTCCAGTCTAAGCATTGCTGGTCCAGTCTAAGCATTGCTGGTCCAGTCTAAGCATTGCTGGTCCAGTCTAAGCATTGCTGGTCCAGTCTAAGCATTGCTGGTCCAGTCTAAGCATTGCTGGTCCAGTCTAAGCATTGCTGGTCCAATCTAAGCATTCCATCTTGTGCACTATTGTTATTATCTTTACCTCATCGCTTGTCTATTGTTCTCTGTTCCTCTGTTCACTCTTCCACGATAAGCCTTAACATTGGGTAAGAAAGTAACAACATAGTGAGCCTGATAACAATATGTGGGCAACATGATCAAACCACAACATAACAGAAGAACATCAGATGATTAGCCGAGAAACGAAAGTTATAATAGTGCCCATTTGTTTGCCATTTAAAAAATAATTTTACAATTACGAGCACTTTAGACATGCTTCTGCAAAAGACTTTGTTGAACTTGCCATGTTCATCAGAGTTGCGGGGGCATTAGGTAACGGGGTTCTCTCTCTGCTGGACAACCGGCTGTACTAAGGCTTCTCTTGCTGGTAAGCACCAACAAAGTAATAAACCAAAAATACTATAATCTCTTTAGGATTATTTCAGCTTTATGAAAAACAATATACTATCAGTAGTCGAAGATTCTGACATTATCATTAAAGTTGGATTATTGTCCTGGGTTCAGTAAAGAGTTTAAGGTGGGTTTTTTATTTTTAAATTGTAGATTTGAATTTTTTTTTTGGTATAGGATGGAAGAGGTGGGTCGTTGGTTAGGGTAAGTGACCTCCCAGATGCTAACACGGCCAGGAGGTCTTTATAGTAGATCCATAATTCATTGATTCCCGAACGGGAAGTGTTGTACTTATTGTTGATGTAGTTGAAATTGATGTGTAGTGGTGAAATTGATGTGTGGTGTATATTGTGGAGAGAGAGTGTGTGTGGAGGGTATATCGGGGAGTGAGTGCGTGTGGTGGTGTTATGGAGGTGGTATAGTGTATCCTGGCCAATTTTTGGAGTGTGTGTGTGTGGTGTAGAGTGTGTGGCATGGTGTGTGGTGTGTGGTACTGGGTGTACAGTGTGGAGTGTATGGTGGGGGGCTTCTTGTGGAGTTTGCGGTGCAATGTGTTGGTTGGAGTGTGGAGTTGAGGGTGTAGTGTGGGGTTGGGGGTGTGGTGTGGGGTTGAGGGTGTGGTGTGGGGTTGAGGGTGTAGTGTGGGGTTGAGGGTGTGGTGTTGGGTTGAGGGTGTGGTGTGGGGTTGAGGGGTGTGGTGTGGGGTTGAGGGTGTAGTGTGGGGTTGAGGGTGTGGTGTGGGGTTGAGGGTGTAGTGTGGGGTTGAGGGTGTAGTGTGGAGTTGAGGGTGTAGTGTGGGGTTGGGGGTGTGGTGTGGGGTTGAGGGTGTGGTGTGGGGTTGAGGGTGTAGTGTGGGGTTGAGGGTGTGGTGTGGGGTTGAGGGTGTAGTGTGGCGTTGAAGGTGTGCCAATTCCACCTCCATATTAGTAATTCCGTCGACATTCGCATTCCTAACTATTCTTCTCATTTATATCGCTCTGCTTTCACTTTACTCAAGAGGTTCTTTAAGAACCCCTCCTGAGTGACGAAAGAAAGCACATTGAGCTAGTCACTTCTGGTTTGCCTATTTGGAGTGGTACTTCGATAGCCTGGTTTGATCCATTGTTTTGATCTTCAGTTATTTACTCATTTTTATTTTCTAATTTCCTTTTGTTTCTTCCGAATAATCCTTAATGTGGTCTGACTAATTTATCATTCACGGTAACTCCCTCTGTCAATATATTTCCTATATTCTGCCTGTATATATTTTACTGGGGCATTATTCTCAACAAGATTACCTTCACTAGTCGATTCCATCTAATCTGAAACCTGCCAAGCCTACATTAATGTTCTATTTCTCTGGCTGCTGGATTAGCTCATATTTTAGTAAGAATTTATGTAATCTCTTTCTGGCCTCCCCCTCTTCCCTTTTATCATCTCCCTCTGGCTCTGTCAGATTATAGATCACCACTGATTTCTCCCTCTCTCTATCTGCTGCCTTGTGCGTTTCTCGACTTACTGGGTTTCTACAGCCTCTATCACTGATGATTTAATGATCATCTTCCCTCTGAACCTTGAGCTACTTCAACAAATATTTTCTCTCATCTTGTTCCCTATTTCTGAGTCACATTTACTGTGTGTGGTGCGGAGGTTGTTGGGTGGAAGGTGCGTTGTTTGACAGGTGTGTGGTGGAGAGGGTTGTGTACAGAGAGGGGCTGGGGTTATTGTCAGCACAAATATTATTGACTTGTGTTGGTAGGTGTTTTGGAAGCCGATGTTCCTGAAGACATGAGCTCCTTAGTACGGCTGGAGTTGTATGTTTTGTTCTTCACTTGGGAAGGAAGTGTATAAATTACCTCTTTAAAGTTAGTTTTAAAAAAATTTTGGTCTGACGTCTGTCGGTAAAGGACGCATCTCTGTGAAGCTCTTTAACATCATTTTAACATAACAATTTAACGTAACTTTCAACATTTTTACAGAGAAAATTGATAAAACAAATGTGCAGAGGTAAGAGTACATGGTATATATAGGTCGAACTAGGGGGAAACTATCAGGGGGAAAGCGCCAAGCCATTACGACTATATAGCATTGGGAAGGGATCGGGATAAGGATTTGGGATGGGACGGGGGAAAGGAATGGTGCCCGACCAATTGGACGGGAATGAACGCCGACCTGCATGAAGCGAGACCGTCGCTCTACCGTCCAGACCAAGTATATATAGGTCGAGATGAGGTATTATCCAGTCGATAGCCCTAGATAACCTTACCTTTCACTCTCATTGGTCAGATGGGTCAGTAGTTGTGCTGTTAACTGGCAAGTTTATCTTGGCTTGGTAGATGGAAGAACTTTCCTTAGTATTATCCGGCTGTTGATAGTTGTTCGAGTGCCTGATATATAGATCTTCGGCTATGTCTGTTCTTACCGATGCTTCTGTTGATTATTTCAGTCTTGCCTTCAGGATATCTGCAGCAAGAGCCTGGTAATATATATGTCTCTTTGTCTGAAGTAGGAGGACAGACTTGGAGAGACTTGAAGAGGAGAAGGAAAGAGAGGAGAGATAAGAGAAGAGAGATGAGAGAGGAGGGGAAGACTGGGAGAGAGGGGAAAATGAGGAGAAGATAGAAGGGGGCGGTCTGGGAGCAGTTGGGTATATATATATATATATATATATATATATATATATATATATATATATATATATATATATATATATATATATATATATATATATATATATATATATATATATATATATATATATATATATATATATATATATATATATATATAAGTATAATTTATTGACCTGTGTTATCCTGTAAACAGCTTAGCCAATTATATGCAAATTTCACAGCCCAGCCGAAATTGGTATTGCATATAGATGGTGTGAGGGTTCCAGCAGGGGAGGCCACGGCCGCGTAACTGACTGGACACTAATTCGTCTCTATTAATGAGTTTGAACAGCGATGCCCTAATTTGGCAGCCTCACTTGGGGGGGAGGGGAGAGGTAACGCAAAGCAATATATCAGCACAAACATCAATTTTGGTATTGATCCGAATAAATGAGATCAATACCAAATTTGATGACGGACGTTTTTTTTTCAGGGATATTCCTGCGCGCGCCCTAAGCCTCTGGCTGGCCCACTAAGTGTTGCTTGTTTCTGTTTTACTCTGGTGGAATATGAGTATTTATGACTCGTATGGTCGCTTCAGTAAGATTTTGTCCCATGTGTTTAACAACTTCTTCTGCTCTGTTGAATCTAAGTTGAAATCGTAATGGGTTTGTAACTGTGCACTGTGTTAGATAATGTTCCAGTGGTCTGTTGTGGCTGTAACTGTGCACTGTGTTAGATAATGTTCCAGTGGTCTGTTGTGGCTGTAACTGTGCACTGTGTTAGATAATGTTCCAGTGGTCTGTTGTGGCTGTAACTGTGCACTGTGTTAGATACTGTTCCAGTGGTCTGTCGAGCGTTTATCCACAGTGCTGACATTTCATGACCGACCTGTTAACATAACTTACTGGAGTGCAGTTTTTGAGGCAAGTGGATAAAGCAAAGTTAGTGGATAACTAAGCTAGTGGATAGCTTGGATATCCACTGAGTTTTTTTAAAGTTTGCCGTAGCAAAGCACGTCGTACATATTATAATAATATATGCAGTCAGACAATTCGCCTAAAAATTGTTTTATGTTTACCATATTTTTCTGGATTTGAAAATATTGTTAAGGCCTTGAAACCTTTTGATATACTTGTATTGTTTAATTATGAAAATACAGTTAGAAAACTATTAGTGAGAAACAGTCCCTCGAAGTGATATTTGTGTCATTTCAAAATACCTTGTAAAGACTGTAATAAGTTCTATGTAGGGCAAACATCTATAGATTTGAAATTTAGAATTTCGCAACATAAATACTCAGTAATTGCCTAATGCTTTGTGTGTGTTCAATTGTCGAAAGTTCTCACTAAATTGATTGGGAGATGGCTTCTTCAATAACAAATTGTAAAAAAAATTTCAATAGGAACATAATTGAATGTGCTTTAATACAGATTACAAAATTATGTAATCTGAACATTAGCAGTTGTTTGTATAATTTAGATTCATTTATGATTGATCAGTTCGAGGGCGATTTCAGTAGGATCATTGATACACAATTGTCTCACTAATACCTTATTAATATCCCCTTATCTCATTAAAGACATTGTACCTCACGTCTCCTGTTTATTGCCTATTTATCCAACCTACTGAACTATAAATCCTTACGGGCTATTCATGTCCGTGCCACCTCTTCAGTAGCTTAATTTTCATCAATCAATCAATCTGTAAATCCATCCTTCTGAAGAATTATTACTGAGTCACCCAAACCAACTCACTATACATTATATTGATTTCAATAAAATACTAAATAATTGAGTCATATCAAAAGTTCAGAATTACTGTCTTTCATACTTAAATTACTTTAATTTAATCCAAGAGCTCGTTCAATTACTCAGTTCACAAACTTTGGTCAGCAAAGTTATTTCGTGATTTATTTCGTGAAAGTTTTACTGAGATAAAGATTTCAGTTGTAAGATAATTTTCCTGTCGTCTGCAGCTTCTCTCCCTCTGTAAAGTAATTCCCGGAGGGTTTTTTGTCCCTCTTGCAATATCCTGCGAGTCCTTTGTGTAAGTGTGAAGGGGGAGTGAGAGGGGGGTGTTGCCTGACTCCCTTCTTAAGACCCCACTCATTCACGATTCAGTTCCTTCCTGACTTAATGTTTTTTTCGTGAAAGTTGCTTCATTCTGAAGTTGTCTTGGTGTTGGTCTCCTGGCACGGTGGTGGTGGTGGTGTTTACATGTTACTGTGTGCCACGTGGGCTGCGTTTGTTTGTACGTGTTTACGTGTTTACCTACCCTACTGTCTGACTAACTGTTTATCTCTCTTATCCCTCTCCCCACGACCCTTAGCTCTCTCTCTCTCTCTCTCTCTCTCTCTCTCTCTCTCTCTCTCTCTCTCTCTCTCTCTCTCTCTCTCTCTCTCTCTCTCTCTCTCTCTCCAGTCATTCTTGTTGTATCTAGTTATTTCTTTGTGAAACATAACTTTCACTTTTCATTATTTTAGATACTATGTGTTTCTTATTTTACAGTGTAAGAGAAAATACTGTATATGTATATGATCTTTAATGACGTGAGTTAAATGACAACATTTTGGAAATTTCCCCCCAAAAATTAAGAAAGGAGGGCTCTAGCATATTTGTAAATAAGGCCATTAGGTAATTGGAGAAAACTTTATCCCCCTCGTGATTTTGTGTGGCCCGTCCAGTTGTGTGTATGTATACAAAGTGAAAGCTTTCTTGAATTTGTTCATCGCTCTGACTCCAAATTATACTAAATTTTGTTTATACAGTGTTTCCCTTGCTTGATACCTGCTTGATGGGGTTCTGGGAGTTCTTCTACTCCCCAAGCACGGCCCGAGGCCAGGCTTGACTTGTGAGAGTTTGGTCCACCAGGCTGGTGCTTGGAGCAGATCCACATATTAACCACAGTGCCAGTTGGCACAACACTTCTTGAAGAAAACAATCTATTCAAACTATCCCTGCTCTCATGAGCAATCTCAGACAAGCTGCAGCTTTCCTGAACACTTATTTATATATACAAGAAGGTACATTGGGTTTGTAAGAATACATAGCATAGTATATACACTCTTGTAAAGCCACTAGTACGCGCAGCGTTTCGGGCAGTTTCGGACTTGCCGCATGTTAGTTCGACAATTGATGTTACTGAACAACACCGTAATCAATTATCAGGGTTTTAATTCTGTTTACACTTGTTAACCTTTACCTGTTATCATCAGCGTCCCTGCTGTGTCTAGTCTGGCATCTGGTGTGTGTATTTTTATTTGCAATGAACTGCATTTATTCACTTAGATGTTTTTAACTAGATTTGCTCAACTAGATGTATTCAACTAGACTTGCTTCAGGTAGGTCTAGTTGAATACATCTCAGACTAAACAAAATACAATACTCCCCCAGAACGACCATTTCAGTGTTAACGAAGGAGACATTTCTCACCTTGGCATAGACAGGTTTAATACGAGTGGCTCAAAGGGAAATTACGAAACGGGGTGGACATAGACGTCCAGTAAAGTGCGTGCACTCTGCCACAGTAAAGTGCGTGCACTCTGCCACAGTAAAGTGCGTGCACTCTGCCACAGTAAAGTGCGTGCACTCTGCCACACCACCCACCGCTGTCTCCAGTTATACATCCCAACAGTTTACAGTTCTTCAAGACCACGTAGTTGATTGACAGTTGAGAGGCGGGACCAAAGAGCCAAAGCTCAACCCCCGCAAGCACAATTAGGTGAGTACGGAGTAGCATATGATAGCTTAAAGCACCTAATCTGTAATTTACAAAGACTTTCAGAGATAACAAAAAAAACCGCAATTACTGTTCTTACACTAAATAAACTATCCCCCCCCCCCTCCTGACGTTTCTATGCCTCAGTTGTGTTTGGCTTCCATCTGTGTCCCCTCGTTCGGTTATTCCTCAGCTTAACTATTTCTTCTTTGTCTGCTGTGTCATTTTTACTTTAGAATTTTATGTAATTATCACATTTGTAATGTTTCTTCGTTCCTCATGTGTGATTAGATCCAGTTTCTGCAGTCTTTCCTCTTTGTTCAGTTTACTTAGTACGGGAACTAAGGCTTGTACGTAACAGGCTTGTTACGTGTGTGTGTGTACTTACCTAGTTGTGCTTGCGGGGGTTGAGCTCTGGCTCTTTGGTCCCGCCTCTCAACCGTCAATCAACTGGTGTACAGGTTCCTGAGCTTATTGGGCTCTATCAAATCTACACTTGAAACTGTGTGTGGAGTCAGCCTCCATCACATTACTGCCTAATGTATTTCATTTGTCAACCACTCTGACACTAAAAAAGTTCTTTCTTTGTGTGTGTGTGTGTGTGTGTGTGTGTGTGTGTGTGTGTGTGTGTGTGTGTGTGTGTGTGTGTGTGTGTGTGTGTGTGTGCGCGCGCGC